ATTTATGGCAATTTTAATTGCTCATTTCTGTAGTAATTTTGGATGGTACATGTTACTTATTGAGCTTCCTACTTTTATGAATCAAATACTAAAATTCGACATGAGTTCTGTGAGTAATTTGTAACTGGAAATTAAAAATTGGAAATTTAAATGATATCATAATACAACTTCTAATTATCTTTTTTCGTTTATTGAATAGAATGCTGGTCTTTCTTCCATGCCATTTTTATGCATGTGGATTTTCACTATGGTTCTTAGTAAGGTGTTAGCCATAATGCAGGATAAAAAATTAATTTCAGTAACAGTATCAAGAAAAATTGGGACATTATTCTGTAAGTTTATCATTAATATATATATATATGTATATCTTGGAGATATAAAATAAGTTTCAATAATAATTATTAAAATTTTTATTTTTAGCATCTTTTGTTCCCATGATTTGTTTAATAGGAGTATCTTATGTTGGATGTAATCGTACATTAGCTGTTACATTAATGACTATTGGAGTAACTTGTATTGGTGGAATGTATAGTGGATTTCTATCCAATCATATTGACATTGCTCCAAATTTTGCTGGTACTCTTGTTGCCATTACGAATTGTATTGCTACTATACCTGGATTTGTAGTGCCAATATTTGTTGGAAAATTAACGCACGGAAATGTGAGTGTTTATATAGTAAAATATCTTATTTCAATAATGATAATATCATTATTAACGCTATTATTATTCAATTTCTTTTATAGCAAACTATAGGAGCATGGAGAATTATATTTTTTACAACTGTTGTTTTGTATATAATTGAAATAATAGTTTACACTGTTTTTGGAAATGGAGAAGAACAACCTTGGAATAAAACTAAATTAATCGATGAAGAGATCAGTGATCAAACATTACCATTAAAAGAAGATTTTAAGAAATGATGTGTGACTTTCAAAAAATCAGCTTTCAAAAAGCTTTTTAATTCAATTTTTGACTTTATATTATACAAAAGATTATCATTAATAATCCTTATTCTACAAGGAACTTATTTATACATTTAACATCATTATTGCGTTACAATTTTTGTTTTTATATGAAAATTTTTTCATACTTTACACTATTATAACGATAAAATATATTTTTTTATTACTATTATACATATACAATATTAAATATTATTTATTAAAGATAATATTTTACATATTTAAACATATTTAATAACAATATTTACATTAAAAGTACAAATTTAAATATTTATTTTATATTTAATATAGAAAAAAAATACTCATTTATCTTTACTGTACTTTTACTATTTTACAAAAATATATTGGACCCCAATTATTATGAGAAGTGGGTGTAACAATATGACCATATTTTAAACCAATTTTGCCAAAGTCATATATGCATCGTAAGGGCAACAATGCTTCTGTCATATCTCTACAAGAATCATATAATACGTAAAAAGTTAATGTAAATAATATAATATATATGTAATAATATTAATGTAATAATATATTTAGAGAAATACATACTTTACAACCATGACACAGTTACTTTCTTGCCATGCTCTCTTTAATGCTACTTGTACAACACCATCATTTTGTATTGGATTAAGAGAACATGTTGAATAAACTACTGTACCCCCTATCGATACTAATTTCAATGCATTCCTATAAAATTAAAAATTAATTATTTATTATGAAATAGAAAAATATGAGATATATTTCATCTACCGACGTTAAAATTTCAGACTGAATTTCTGGCAATTTTAATCTTTCTTTAAGCCTGCTTGGTTTAAAAATATTGTTTTCATCAGAATGTAAATTGTGTCTATCTGTTGTACATGGGACATCGACTAAAATCTAAAAAGATTAATAAATGTGAATTTTATATCGATTTTCATTAAAACACTAAATATTAATAAAAAAGACATTGCATTAAGATGTATACCTTATTGTATCTACCATTTTCATTGATTGCTCTAGCATCTTGTTGCATTATAAGAAACATATTTTCTTTCTCACAAATATTTGAAACAAATTGATTCATAACATTTTTAATTCTTTTTATTCTAGATTCGACAATATCATTAGCAATCAGTAAACGTGGCATGAGAGTTTGAAGAATAGTTAAAGCTTTTCCTCCAGGTGCAGCACACATATCAAGTACAATATCACCTAATTGTATATCTAAAGCTAATACAGGAAGTATAGATCCGCCATCGAATAAATAATAATCTAAAAATAACATATATATTGGTAATATTATATATTTCATTAATACTTAATGCAATATTTTAAGATATATAGAAAATTAGCTTTATTATTATTGAAATTAAAATAATACAAACCTAATACACCAGTAGATCCTTTTTTAGGACTTGGAAATCTAGTATAATTATCTCTTTCAAAAGTATATACATGTAAATGTTCTGGAAATGGCAAAACATGCTCGTTCTCAATATTTACTTTAAAATCATCAGCTTTAGTATAAAATTTATAATGATCGGATTCCAAAACCCAATCATCTGAGCCTATGAAATTTATTTGAAAAAAATATAGTATTAATTTTTTAATTTAAAAGAATATATTAATTAAACAAACCTTTTATTTTGCTAGTAGGCACATATTCTTGAAGCATAGATAAATTTACAGATGAATCAACAATACGAGTATTGTCTATATTAATATCATTTAAACTTGCATCTATAGATTGTAATTTTATAGATATTTTATTTTCACTTTTTTTATCAGATTCCGTAGTTTCAGCTTTTAAGGCTTCTGATTCTAAATTTGGATAATTAGCAGGATAAGCTGCTTGAAGTTCCGCCATCTGATCTATAGATGTTTCAGCTTCTATCGAATTTTGTATATCATCAGATTTACCATACTTGGCCTCTCTTTTACTCTTAAAAAAATCTACATTTTCTTTCTGTACATTATATAGATTCCTTAAATTTAATGCACCAAGTAGCTGTAATAATTTTATTTTCCCTTTTAATATAAATTTTTAATATTTTTTTAATATTTTTATTTTATAATTTTATGATTTTTTAATACTATTATGTTTCAATTTACCTCTAAATTAGATCGAATTTTTTCCGTATCACTGAAATTATTAACCACAGCCATATACTTGGAATCTTTTTTTAATAACGCAGCTCGTATATTCTTCCAACTGTTTTTATAAACATTTGCATAAAAATCATCAAAGTATTCTAGCGCTTTATCCTTTGGTGTTTTCTTTTTCCTTACCACGGACTATAAAAATAATTGTCTATTTCATTAAATTAAACGAATTTTTAAAAAGAATATTCAAGTTTTAATAACATTGTGGGGTTATAACGATACAAACCCAATGATCTTTTCCATGTGTACTACCAGCAGCATATCGAACGCATAATTTTACAATCTTTTTTAATTTTAATTTATCGAGCAACAATGCCATTTTTTTCAAACATGCAAATGATTGATTCGAATTCTCATAATTTGTCTCATTTGCGTTTTTCAAACACAATAATTAGCTGAACTTTGCGAAACGAAGAAGCGAAGGTAGCGGCAAAATTCGTTACTCGATTTCGCTACTCGATGGCGCTGCATGTACATTCAATTTTCTTTCGAACGCAAGAAGTGGTCGACGTCGATTAACCGTTAGTGAGAGCGATGTAAAAGAAGAAGGGCGTGAACCAGCGTGAACTGCAAGTACAGGTGAAACAGGACAACCGACAAATCCACGAGTTACGGTACTACCAGTGCTACTTGACTAACACTGGACGATACATCTTTTTTTATCAAACTCGCGTTAACTTCTCCGTAAGCCATTCTTCTCCTACTTTGCCGACTTTCTTTATCACAATCTCCATGGTACGAGATGTAAATAAAAATTGTAGAGATAAATGCATGTACATGTATAGACGCAATACGTGTCGATCTATGTAATATATCAGATGCAAACGACAAGGAAGCGACGTATTTGTCGTGACATCGAGATGAGAAACGTGCCGAGTAAGATGGAGTGAATGGGGGTGGTGGGGATGGGGACGAACACATCTTTGTGCTCCCCTCTTGTGAAGGCGCTCGTGCGCCGTGAAACGTGGCTGTTTCGAAAGTTCCTACTCGAAGAACCTATTTTAGATGCTATAAACCATTTCGACTTGTAAATCGTTTTCGGAGGTGTACGAGCCTCTTTACCTGAACAAAAGAATAGGAACATATCTCGAAACGATTTCCTATAATTCATACCGCTTTTGACAAACGATTTTTTTTTATTTTCCAACGAATATTTAGGCATATTTCACAAAAATGATAAAAAATTCATGATAAATAGTATAGACTCCGCTTTGAAAACACGACGTATCGTGCTGATAATCATAGAACAACTTAAAAAAGAAATTCGTAACCGTATATAGAATGAGAAACGTAAATTGAGAATCGAGTAAGACCGACATGATAATCTTGTTACCCTCGAAACGCGTACAACGTACTCCGGTGAAAGTCTCCACTGTAGACAGTAGACGTGAGTTCAGTGTTCTCGAGGGGAACGAAAGGAGAACGTCGCCGCGCAGGAGATCAGCTCTTTTGCTTCGAAGCAAAGATCAGAACTCTAGCCCATGGGGTGCGGTATACCCTATGTGTGGCCAGAGGAGACACACACCTCGTCGATACTTTCGTGTTCATTGTCACGCATACAGAAACTCTTCCTCTCGATGAATCTCGACGACCCGAATCGCTCGACGGCGAAGCTGGTTTCGTGGATCTCTTCATGAGAGGCACGTCGTACGCGATTTGTCGGGGCACGGGGTGTGACGGGGACTCGAGGGATCGTAAAGGCAATGCACTGTAAGGAGCTCACGACGACTATACCCTCCCTCCGCCCCTCGCGCGTTCGCGCTCGCGCGCGCGCCTGCCTCCCTCTCGTTCTCTCGCCACCGTCCCTTTCTCTCCCTTCTTTCTTCGCTCCCTCCCTCCCTCCCTCTCGCTCTCCCACCCTTTCTTGCCGCCGTCTCTCTTTCTTTCCCTCGTTCCCTCCCTCTCTCTCTCTCTCTCTCTCTCTCTCTTTCTCTCTGTCGCTCTTATCAGAAAGCCTCGACAGTACGACCTCACTTGTATACTCTCTCGTTCTATTGCTCGCTCGGCTGATCTCTCGAGGAGGGCGCGTTAGGGCGCTCGCCAGCCACTCGTCGATTCTCGTGCTCCGTTCCGAAAATTTTTCTCCTCGATTCTCGATCGGTCGAAATTCAAATTCGCTCCTCCCCTTTCCTACGAATCGCAGTGTCACCGCGATTGCTCGCTCGCTCGTTCGCTCGCTCGCTCGCTCGCTCGCTCGCGTGTAAAGGGGAACACGAAAGGCCAAAGGACTCGGAAGTTACGACATCCGGCATACAATACTACCGTTTCCTGTCTCTCGTGACCCTTGGTCCCACTTGGTCTAGCCCACGTGACCCCGCCGCCGCTTCCGTGCCTCGCGCAGTTTCGATTTAACACGCGCGCGCCTCTAACTGCCGCGGTAATGCGTGCGCACGTAACCTTCGACGAATCGCCATGACATTTTTTTCAAAACTTCGAACCCTTTCTCGAGCTACAACAGGTATTCTTCTTTTTTTCCTTTTCTTTCTCGAATCTCGACCGATAAAAAGGATCGCGCGCGATTCCATTGTCCAGCTCGATTTACAAGCGTCACAGATTCATCCTCGTGAGAATTCTTCGAAATTCTTGCCCGCCTTTTCGTGCATATGCGCATCGTCACAATACGATGTCGACTCGACAATAGGTGGTTGATTCCTTTCTAAATCTCTCCTTATTTCCTCGTTCGATTCCGATTCTCTCTCGAATACCGGTTCACCGTGTATGGTCGATTGTTGTGCGCGTGGCGGCGCATCCTCGGTTGGAAAAACGAACGGGCCGGATAAAAGAGTCGAAATCGGTTCTGATTTCGACTTTTTTTTTTTTTTTTTTTTTTTTCTCTCTCTTTTCCTCTCTTTTTCTTTTTCTTTTTCGTAGTCACCCGTCCCACGCCTCGCCCCTCCTCGCCGCGGCGAGCCTCCCAACGACGTCGTCACGTGCATGCATGCGTGCACGCGTACATCGTGGCATGGCGAGCGCATACATGCGGGGTCGTTGAACGAGCAGGGGGTACCGAGGACAACAGTAACGACTGCACCAACCCACTTGTCTCGACCCTATACAAGTCACGTGCACGTACAGTGCTCGGCAATAATGGTCCCCAGAGGGTGTGACCTATTCTATATGCTGGATTCTCGCGCGCGGGCGCGCGCCATCGGCCGAGTTGCTGGTACCAACATGCTCCGGTACCAACCAGCGTACCCAGACTGCTCCCCATGGAAAACCGCGAATAGAAACGTTTTTACGATACGCCGTACCGTTTTGCCTCGCGTAAGCAAAGATATGAAAAGAGTATCGGAGAATAATAAAATTTCCTTTTTTTTTTTTTCTTTCTTTAAGCAAACGAAACCAAGGTTACGTTACTCATTCATTTTTTTCTCTTCAATTATTTATTTATTTATTTATTTCTTTTTATCATTATTA